TGTGTGTGTGTGTGTGTGTGTGTGTGTGTGTGTGTGTGTGTGTGTGTGTGTGTGTGTGGTGTATAGGCATAAACCTAATCCCACCTAATACACAGTACCTAACTATATAATATTAGCTTGTATTGAATATGTATGTGGCACACATTTCCTTTTGAATATTAAAAATGCAAGTCGTGTCTTTTAGAGTTATCGGGGAAAAGAACCTTTATTTTTAGCAGTGGTTTCCTCCGTCTTCTCAGTCACCCTACATAGAGCATAATTGTCTTCACAGCTGTGTAGGTCAGGGTCATACCGGGATCTTTTTATTCCCTTCATCAGAGAATTGTGAGTTATTAAACTTGGGCTGTAATTGAATGAGAGTGTTATTGTGAAGCACCGGGAAGCCCGGCTGTCATTCTGCCCCTCGGCGTACGGATCTCTGACACGGACAGGGGAGACATTTCAGCAGAAGGGTCACTGTAACGGCGCCTCACGGCTTTCCCATGTACACATCGGGGCTCCTGCGGCTTGCACTGGACATGATAATCGTCAGTATTATTTTTAATCTCCAGAACAGTTTTTTTTTTTTTTTGCGTCTTTTGACCCTGCAGGCTTCCTTATTTTCTCAGATCACATGGCACACCTGCTGCCATTCTCTGGCCTTTGTGGCTCTGGCCTCGTTCTTTATATCCCACCCCAGACCCACATTATGTGGCCCGGCGGGTGTAAAAGGTCAGCCTTGTTTTTGAGATGCGGCTGGGAGGGACCGCGGGTGAGTCTTTGTATCGATTGGAATGACTGTAAGCCGCTGCTTTGTCCTGCTTTATTGTTAAGGGATTAAACATCAGCGCAGGACATTTCTGAATGTTTCTCCTCTCTCTCCCCTCTTTGGCTTCTCCCTGTCTTCTCTCCTCCTCTTCCATCCATCCATCCATTAACCCCCCCCCCCTCGGGTGAGTCCAGCCCTACGAGGGTCTGAAGCTGCAGGATTTGCGTCGTCTGAAGGACATGCTGATCGTGGAGACGGCTGACATGCTCCAGGCTCCCCTCTTCACGGCGGAGGCATTGCTCAGGGCTCACGGTACGTCCTGACAGGGCCAGGGGCCTCGGGGGCCCAACTGCCCCCCCCCCCCCACACACCTTGAAACTCTTTGAAGAAAACTTACCCCAGATCACAAAACCGATGAGGCCCCCCTGAGGCCACTGGGGGGGTTGC